TATATGCACACATATTTGCATACATATTTTACATTTTATTTTTTAGATTTTAATAAATATATGTAAGCACATTATATGCACATATTTTTTATAATCTATAAATGTAAGTGTATAAATATATATATTTTTATAAATATATATGCACATGTGTGCATATACATATATATGCATATAATATTTAAATAATAGTCACAGCGTAAAACATCTAGATAGGCCTAAAACAGGCATCATTTTCTTAATGCAAAATATGATTTCTTATTTCTTTCTGTTGATTTTGGATTAATTTAGAGGTTTCATGAGATCCACCCATGAATGGTGTGATGAATTCTCAGCGTAACCATCCAATCATTCCTCAAGTGCAGCAGCAGCTCCGCGTCGGTCAGATGCGTGTCTGTATGACGTCTTTCATCCACACTGACGCTTGACGTTTTCGTCTCACATTTTTGCCCTCCGTAGCAGGAAGGCGTCTCTCTCAGGAAGTACTGTGATGTTTTTAAGTGAACTCTCATTATTGTTAAGATGATATAAATGCATAATCAGTGGTGAAGTACCTCAGACTCTGCTGTGGAGATTTACACTACATACCTCATGCTGCCGTGACGATGGGAGACGAAACGTTCCCGAAACGTTCCCGTTCCCGCGCAGAATCCGGAATGCTGGACGTGAATCCCTCGAGCTGGACTCTCCTTTCTCTGTGTGTCTTTTTCTCGTGGCGAAACCAAACGTGAACTGTTGCATTTGTACAATCAGGTGGCCAAACCTGCTCACCGTAACCAAACCGAACTGCCTTCTTCAGCTGCTGCACAGCTAGAAACCAAAGACCGGATGACCTCCGCCTCACAGGTCAAAGGTCACCGCGACGCTTGTCTGTATGATTGTGATGTAATGGGTCAGGTGACCAGGGAAACACACTTACACTCATCTCTCTCCGGTCAGATGTTTCTGTCTGGTCCGGATGAGGTTTGAAGGCCATATCGATGTGCTTTCTGTCTGTTCTCAGGACTTCGATTCGTCTCTGTTCCAGCTCTGATCCTTCATGTTTGCTGCACTCTTCTTCTGTCTGAACTGGATTAAACGCCTTGTGCAGATTCTTGGTCCTAGTTTTATATTTTTCTGTTTTTGTGACTGTGTCTAATGCTTTAAAATGCTACAGGTTTACTGTGCTGCATAAATGTTTTCCAGCATCCAGGAACAATGCCATACGTTCCCACTGATGCAACTGACGGAATAATACAATTAAAACAGTAATTGTGACATTTTACCTCACAATTCGGACTTTTTTCTTGCAATTCCGCGTTTATATCTCACAAATCTGACTTTTTTTTCTTGCAACTGTTTTATCTTGCAGTTAATTTTATCTCAGTGGCAGAAAAACAAACAAGCGAAATATCAGACTTCCGACAAAAAAAAAAAAGTAGTTTTTGCGAGATTCTGTGGCGGAAATGAGCTTCCATACAGATCAGTGGTCCGTCGGTACAGGTTTTTAAACATTTGATTTCTTCAGCCCTGAATACATGCTGAGTTTTGGGGGTTAAAGAAGAAACTGTGTGTTTGGCAGGAATAATGTTCCCAAGTAAAAGTCCAGGAACGCGTTCTACAAGCAACGTCCAGGTCACGTGACCCCTGTATTTATTTAGTTGATTTAGAATTTCAAGACATAAAAAGCATTACAGTCACATTGATTAAAAACAGAACAAAATATACATTAAATATAAATTAGGATTCATGTAAATATACATTAGGATTCATGGTACGCCGCTTAACGAACGGCCTAAATAGCATCGCGGGTTCACGTGATGTCAAGGCAGATTTTCCGCGGCAAATTGGTCACGTTCATTTAGCTGCTTATGTTAGCCGTGATAAACACATTTTATGATATTACGGTGCGTCCGAAATCACGTACTGTCTAAGTAGGTACTACATTTGAATCACGACCGTTCTGTAAGAATAATAAGAATATGAGTAGTATGAATGAAATTCGGACGTACTACATCCGGGTACTTTTCGCCAACTGTTTTTCGAATACTCGGACTGTTTTGAAAGAGTTAGAGGTAGGACTATAACCTTAGTATATTTTCATAAAGAGTGGGTATGTTTTTGAGAATTCGATGTAGTATGACCAAAATATCGAAGCAGAAATACTGCAAACATCAGTCGAGTTTTTGACACACAGTTTGGTAAATTGTCTGTAATAATTATCGCTGTGATTTCGCGCGCCAAAAACCGTTTACTGCTAAATAACAGTCCTCAGAAATTAAAAGAGAACAAAAATATTCTCATAACATCAGAATGTGTGTGAATGTTGTAGTCTGAGGGTGTAGTTTATCCCAGAATGCACTTCAGGACTTCAGATTCTCTGAGTTTCTGTCTCACGATTACTGTTTATTAATAAAATCAGTCAGTCAAACGATCTTTTTTGTTTGTAGTTTACATAGTATAACGTGATGCATGTTGGGCCTAGTTATGTGTTGCTTGCAAATATCTTTTTATATTTATTATTATATTTCTGTTTCAGTCGTAGGCTAGTTATCAGCTAGACAGATTAATTCTGTGGTTTTGTTAAAGAGATCAAACAGTTGGTGGTTGCCATTGACTTCCATAGTATGGAAAAAAATACTATGGAAGTCAATGGCAACCACCAACTGTTTGATTACCAGCAATCTTCAACATATCTTCTTATGTGTTCAAGATAAGAAAGCAACTCATACAGGTTTGGAACGACATGAGGGTGAGTAAATGATGACAGAATTTTCAGGTGAAAAAATTTTTTTTCAGAATTTTTGACAGACATTTTTGGGTGAACTATCCCTTTAACTGGTTAAGGTCGAGTTAACTCAGTCCTGCTTCGCCTCGAGGTGGCGCTCATGCGCAGAGAGTCAGATTGACACGTGCTGTTCGGTGTGTCTGTTTTCTTGGTTTAAGTGCATACGTTTTTAGTGGGTTTTGTGCATGTCGTTTTAATTAAAAGGCACATTTAGGAGAATGTGAATACTTGATGAACTGGTTTGTGCTGGTTGTATTTTAAAGTGCAGCACTTTACCATAAAAACAAGTTAAACGTTTGACATCGAGTTTGCTGTATAAGACATGGTTCTCAGGTTAGTTAAGATAAAGCTTTAGTCTATAACTTAGTCTGTGTGATTCATTTTGTTTTCTTTTTTTTTCCAATGTGGCTTATTCTGTACAATTTCAATTTCATGAACTCGGTGAAATGCCATTCTAAAACGTTTACCCTTCAGTGAAGCTCGACACTTGAATACTAAATACATTTGGCATCACAGATTTTCTTAACTTGGGATTTCCTATTTTCTAACTTGAGATACGAGTAGTCTGTATTTTTTTAGGATGAAATTAAGAATTAAAATTCTTGAAAATAATTCTTATTCATTACTTAGTTAGGGCAACCTCCAACTTATCCTATATTGTCTTTTTTTGTTTGTTTAATCATCATCACAGCATAACACTAGCTACAGGATAATCTAGCAAATAAAATCCTCAATGGGAGTTAACATACATCTCATGCATTTTACACGTTTAATAAGTAAATCAGTTAATTAAACCCGACCCCTGGTGTGAAAAAATGTAAATATGCTTAAAGGGGTCATCGGATGCAAAATTCACTTTTGTTGTTGTTTGAACGTAAATGTGTGTTGGAAGTGTGTGTAAACATCCATCCTATAATGATAAAAATCCACCCAGTGTTTTTTTTTTTT